TGGAATAAAGTATTACAAATAAGTAACTGATAAAATAACAATGAAATATGCAAGATTTATCTAACATGATGCAAAAAAAGGTATAGTAAATAGGAAGAAATTAAATAAGTAAATAAGGAGTTATTATTAAGTAAATAAATACGAAATTACTAGGTAAGTAAATAAGAATTTATCAAGTAATTGGAACAAATAGTAGCTATCTATGTGATGATATGCTTTAGATAAGTGCAAAATTAGATCTTAAAGAAAATAGTAAAGAATTATAGTAATAAAATTTGCAAATTATTAATTGCTAATTAAATTACGAAAGACTTAAATTAATATATAATACAAGATAACATTAATTCAAATACGATCAAAGGATTGCAACATTGCGATATCAACAAATGGTAGTGACGAAATTTCATTACATTTCAACTTTACGCTCTAACATCTAAGTAAATCAATGGAATTTAGTTCTTGATAAGATAAGGTTGCAAAGAATATACGAATAAAGAGGAGGTGAAAAGATAGAAAGGAAGAAGGAAGGAAAGAGGAAAGATAAAATTCATCATTCTGATTTATTATCATTTTAATTTTAGATATTTAATGAAATTTTAGAAATTAAAAGCAGTAAAAAATAATCAAATAGTCATTAAAGTCAAAGAATGATTTAATTCTTTGTTAAACATTTCTTTAATTAAACATATGCTAAATTACAAAACAGAAGAAATTCCAATTAACATACTCGAAGTTGATGATATCCAATTATAGTTTTATCTAATATGTGATAAGATGTGATCAATATTATATGTATGTACATTTGATCTCTGATATATGTCCGATATTAGTAATTTGAGAAAATAACTGAACGATTTGAAATGAATTTTAATTTAACAAAAATATACACAAAGGTAAAATATTTCTCAAAAAAAAAAGTAAAACGAAGGAAAGGGAAAAAAGAAAAAGAATTAGACAGATTAAATAAGTTTAGCAAACAAAAACATCAAAGATAGTTTGGAAATTCCTATTTAATTTCAATATAGGAATAAATCTTTTGATTAAACAGATTTTTGCTATTTTTATAAATGTTTGTAACATTTAGGAAAAAGAAATTTGAAAAAATGTATGGATATTTTAGAAATAATAATAACAAATGCTATTTGTTAAATAAATAAATGTAATAAAATCTGTTAAATATGAAAAGTAAAATAACATTTCCTCATCAAAGAAAATTTTAATTTTATAAGAAGAAAGAAAAAATGAAAGTTTTTTTTCTTTTTTTTGCGACTCCAAAGTTTCTCAACTTTTTTTCTTTTTACACTTTAGAGAGAACTTTTATTTTTATACAAATATTTACTTAACAAGACATGAGCATAAATTCGTATTATTAATATTGCATTTATTATTTATTCGTTATTTTTTTCGTTGCAAAATTTTTTTTACCATTTTAAAAGCAAAAGCTATTATAGTACATTCGGCTTGTCATTTGTCATTTATCCTCAACATTCCCAGCCCTTCTTAACTGTTTTTTCTTCCTTGCAATCAAGCATATTTTCATTAATTTAAGGCTCAATTTGTTCCTATAAACCTGAAATTACTAGTATAAGAGCTAGTCTCTATTAATATGGAAAATCGAATTATGCTATTTTACAAATAAAGGATATGATAGTGTGTTCCCCTATATAAAGCCATTTGTCCTCAACTTTTCCTTCTATTCAAGCCTTTTGTGTCCCCGAGGTTTAGCATTGTATTATGAAATGCTGCTACATTTTCCCATTCTTAATTCTTGAACGATAAGATTTAGAAGATGTTAGCACTTTGAAAGATCGATTTGCTCAAAGAACACAAAAATTTCTATATTACCGTAATATAGCCATATGTTATTATTGGTGAAATTTAAGTTTACTCGAAGGTATGTTTAAATAAGCACCTATGAAAGCAATGAAAAACGATCCAAAAATGTCAAAATATTATTTTGAAAGAAAAGAAAAACCAAACCAAGCTTTCGACAAATTCTTCAGGTTTTAAACATTAATAATAAAAATAATAATTAACAATGATAATAATTAATAATAATAATAATAATAATAATAATAATAATAATAATAATAATAATAATAATAATAATAATAAAATAATAATAATAATAATAATAAACTAATAAATAATAAATAATAATAATAATAAT